AAGGTGCGGCAAGCAAAATATGCGTCACTTGGATGGGCATTTTTTATGGAAAGGAGGTGAAGAAGAAGGATATGTACAAGTTGTTCATTGTTGTGCAAAGGGAGAAGATGGAGTTTGATCGGGAGAGATTTGCCTTGGAGAAGGACAAGGTGGAATTGGAGAGGCAAGAGAAGGTTGCCAAATGGGAGCTTGAGCAAACAGTGACAATGCGTGGTCTTGACCTCGAGAAAGAGAGGTTGCGCCTTGCGAGAGATACGTAGGAGTTGAGGATCATGTTGCAGGACATCAACCCCTTGGATGATGAAGGGACGAAGTGGTTGCTTCGTATGAAAAAGAGGACAAATTACCGTGAGGAGTGAAGATTTGATTCATTCGTGTATCGTTTATCTATATATGAACTATTGAATTTTATTTTGACATGTACTGAATTTATTTGGGCTACACTATCTCTGTATCATAGAATATATGATGAATTTGCGTTGTATGATCGTCGTGCATGGATTTGCATGGATTTGAGTATTGAGATTAGGAAAGTGTGGTTGTGGAGAGGGCCAAATGAGGACATGCCTGTCTCGGGCGCGTCCATGGAAGTATAGGGACCCGGATTAGACAATTCCGGTTATAGCTGCTCTAATGGGAAATGTGGGTTTCACCCATATATAGGTGGTCCGAGCTTCTATTATGTGTAGTCACGTAAGATGACTGTTGACTTGAAAGGATAAACTACTGTGGTGCCTTCGTAAATCTTAAGATGCTATGTCGGTTCAGTCTCTCGGAGATGCTCATAGGGTAAGGTGTGCATGTGTGTGTTCATAGAGGTGAGTGTATGCTCGTGTATATGAGCTTCTTCGATTGTATTGTGTCTAAGAAACAAAAATCCACTGACTTAAGAACAATAAAAAGTTGAAATAGATTTGCATGTCTCAACTAAGAAATTATCTCTTGGTGTTTCTTTTTTGAAAAAGATCAAGATATATTATAAAAAGCTCATTGGAAGTATAAAGCATCTCAAACAAAATAAAAAATACATTGAGATTCCGAGGCTATCGAACGACCGTTACTGCCACCATAATGAGCTACCGACGCATCGCTATCATTGCTTCTTTACCGGAGCAGGTTTGACCTTGTCGATGACAGTCAAGAAGTCTTCCTGCACGTGCCTCCAAGGACCGATACATTGGAGCCCCAGTCGTCGTCGCTGAACTCTTGCATAGATCTAAACCATCTAACACCAATTATCGCCACATGACGAGAAACCCTAACCTCACTGCCTCAAGGAGACATCGAGAATCTATGTTGGAGTTCTGTCGACTATGTCCAAACGGACGAACTCGAGGAGGATCGAAGCCTGATATTGGGCGAACTCGAGGAGGATTGAACTCGAGGAATACTGTCAACTATGTCCAAAGGGGCGAACTCAGTGTGCACATAAATTCCTCATAGAATTAGTTTAAATTGAGCTAGCCGATATTGGGAATCTCAAAATCCATGGAGGCACTCAATGTTGGGCATAAGATTACAATGACAAATGGTAGAACCTTCCCTGGTCTGTTGGTAACCCTGGCATGGGCTCTAGGCGCCCGTGACAATACGTGTTGCAAAGCAGGGGCAAGGCATATGCAACCAGAGAGCGTATCCTGTGAAACGGAGGCACTCGTGCACCAGATGCGAGAGCGCATCCTGTGAAATGGAGGCACTCGTGCACCAGGTGCTCCGCTATGCTATGGGCCATTAGATTTGAAATCAATGGACAAGATCCATCTGCAAGGGAAGATGATGGTACATTTGCAAAAACATACCTTCAATCTAGCTAAACAGATCAGATAGACCCCCGAAGCCCACTTCGTCTACCTACATTTTCCAATGTTGTGTGCCACTGCTCTAGGTCGCCTTGCTGATCTGGGGTTAAAAAAAATGGGGCGAATCACCTCTCTCCCTCTCCCTCTTTGGCTTCCAGCTTTGAAACACCAGCGCCCAGATCTACATCATGAGGCATCTCGTTGCAGCTCTATGGACACGATATCTTTAGCTGGTAGGGAGTACAATGCAATAACATCAATGGTCTTGCATTGCAGCACAAGTGTTTCATAGTATGAATGCACATAATTTGTTCAACAACCGTCCATCTTAAGTGCAAAGTAGAATAAAAAGCTTACATTGTTAGTTTCACAGGTTTACATTCTTGATGAATACATGGTGCTAGAAAAGCCAGAGCCTAGGACAACTAGGCACAATCAGGAAGAGTACAAGGAGTAAATTTAGCAGTTTGATATCTGTTGTTATGCCCTCTCATTTTACAAAACCCACTAAGCTCCCAAATTTGCGTAAGAAAATGAATAATTGCGGTCTTGCAAATCTCTTTGTTTATTTATATTTTAAGTGTTGTAACCAGGGGATAAAAATTACCATCATACTTGCAGCTCATGCATATAGACGACACTCACATCACGCTAATGTCATTCCCAATCAGTAACATGTGCATGTTCTACCTTGCATGCCTTTTGAGTTTTTTTGTGGGTACATGCCTTTTGAGTTCACTGGTGAGTTTTCAAAACATTAATTTTGGTTCACTAACATGCTAACAAGCAACACACATTAAGGATATTACCTTCAGAGCATCCCTACAATGTGGATCGTAGCAAAATAAAATCAGGAGCATGAACAACTAGTAATGGTTTCACAACTCCCAAGTATTGATTCTTCATATACAAGTACTCACAATCATGCATAGTGCTGCACATGAAAAAATGTTATAAATTTTGAAGGAATAAAACAAAAGCATCTTGTTTGTGTATTTGTAATCTTATTACTGTAGCAACTGAAACTGAAGATACAATTTTTACCCTTCTAGTTGCATATATCATACATCGGTTCGGTGTAGATAATACTCATTCCAAAACACATTGGTAAAGGAAGAAGACAACACACCTTGATCCTTGAAGTACAGCAGACTATCAACTCTTGTGTCACTTTGTACCATCGACGTCCCAAAACTAGAACATGAGCCAGCGCCACAATACAGTTCGTTGCGTAGGTTTAGCTTCTATGGCGGAGATCCTGACTTTCTGCTGGAGAGGGAAAGAGACAGGATGGGCGATTTTTTTTCAAACCCTACCTCAGCTCCCATGCCAAGGTGGTGGGGGGCACAGGAGACAGGACAGGGCAAAGACAGGACTGAGGAAGGGCGATAGACAAACTGGGCTTGGGAGGTCTATCTTATTTGTTTAGCTAGACTTGAAGGTTTGTTTTGCAAATACACCAGCAGCTCCCCTTGCAGATGGATCTTGTCCTTTGATTTTGAATCTAATGACCCATAACCTGGTGGAGCATCTGGTGGAGAGCGTATCCCGTGAAACGGAGACACTCGTGCACATATTTGTTGCCATAGATCATTTAGCTACACTTAATATTCGGCACACACCTTGATCAGGTAGCCGATATTGACTCTTTATCTTAAGATTGTCTCCTTTCATTTCCACTACTTCATCTATCCTGATTTATAAGTCTCAAGCATATTTTAACCTTGACCATTAATTTAGTCTATAAAATATACACTATATGCAACAACAAACACATCATTGAAATCTTTCTTTGGAATTGAACGTTATGATAGGGAAAGTATCTAGTGCTCCCAGGCTTGGGGTGCTCCCGGTGCTCCAAATGTCCGAAAAACATTTTTAAAATGTTCAAAAAATTCTGAAAAAATGCAGCACATCGATGGAACATCGATGTCTCTTGTCACAAATTTCAAATCAAAATTCGAAACATTGCTCAAGATACAAAAATGATAAATTTTTGTACATAACATAAGTTGGGCTTTAGTTTTGGCCCATTTATCACATTGATGTCAATTTTGTCATTTTTGTATCTCGAACAATATTTCGAATTTTGATTTGAAATTTTTTGACAAGAGACATCGATGTTCCATCGATGTGCTGCATTTTTTTCAGAATTTTCTAAACATTTTAAAAAATGTTTTCCGCATCGGAGCACCGGGAGCACCCTAGGCCTGGGAGCACTAGATACTTTCCCCGTTATGATATAGGTTTTACGACATATAACTAATATTTTATTGAACAAATCCATGGTCATTTTTTTCTACCGAAATGTGTGCGGTGTTCTAGACTTATAAATAAGGGTGGAGTGAGCAGCATGGAATAGTAGTCCCTACACATTTAGATGTTCTATTTTTTTCCGAAATCAAATGTACAAGACACGTTTTAGTGTGTTTGTTCACACATTTCAATCCGTAGTCAGCTCATTTTGAAATATCAAGAACATCTTATATTTGTGAACGGAGGGAGTACATTATCTATATCTATACCAATATAAAAAGACCCAAAGGGGCAGATCTAATTAATTTCAGACATCAAATCATGTCAATCCAACGACCTAGACCGCTTCAATGTCGAGCACTCAACACGTTTAGCGTGCAGTTAGTTTCAAGCCAAATATAATGTTTTTTTGCGGCAATGCCAAATATAATGTTGATCACATAATAACATGCAAATAATATCCTACTTAATATCCACACACACTTAATATACTTTCAAATTAACGTGCATTGCACGTACACATTGACTAGTTAAAAACAAAAAGAAGATAAGATCCCCTTGGAAGAAGAAGTAATTCCATCTGCCAATTCCATATAGTAGTACTAGTTTCCACTTGCATGAACCACACAACAGAATCATTAGCCAAAGCGTGACGCCTCTTTGGCCCCCTCGTTCCCTTTCCCAAAGCAGGCATTTTCCAGCCAGGACTCCATCCGCACCGCACCAAGAAGCCTCCTAAAAAGCGGCCCGGTCGGTCGGAATCAACACCACGACGGAACCCAGCGACCCGGAGAAGCCGCGCGGCCTTAAACCCCGACCCAACCACCCGCCCGACCCTCTCGTCTATTCCCAGCCGTTTCCCGTTCCCAAATTCCCAACCCGATTCCATTCCGCCCCACTCCCACTCGTCGCCCTCCCGATTCGGTTTGAAAAGAGACAAAAGGGATGCTCGACCGGTCCCTCCGGCCGGCGGAGGCCGGCGCCGGCGCGGCCGGCCCCGGCGAGGTCCGCGGGAACGTGGATCGGGTCCTCTTCAAGGACCTGGTCGACATGGTGCCGCTCGTCGAGTCCCTCATGGTGAGCGCGCGCGTGGGCGAGCCGAGGCGCAGATCTCGCCGGGGCTGGAGGGATTTCATGCTCCCTCTCGCGGAGCTTGTAGATTCGGGTCGTTCTAACCATCGGGCTTGCTTTGCCTCTGGATGCAGGATCGGAGGACGAACCCGTCGTACTCGCGGCGCGCCTCGCTGGTGTACACGCCGGCGCCGGCCAAGAAGGTGACACGCTTCTTTCTTCGTCTTTTGGCGCTTTGCTCCTTGGATGTGGGGATTTTTTGCATTAACAAAAAAGCTATAGTGACAGTTGCTGATGTTTCGGTTTCCCTGTGTACTTTTCTGAATTGCGACCCCGGGAGTGGTTCAGATGTCGTGCTTCGGTAGATAGGCTGTGCAAGAAAGTTCAGATTAGGGAATTTCATTGTCATTTACATGGTTTACAGGGGTAGATCTCGCAAGTCTGTCGGTTTCTGTTAAGCTTTTGTAGCCTTGTTGAGATGGCATGGCGTTGATAAATCTGTTTTGTTACTGTCATGAGCTTTTGTAACGGTGAAGGGATGCGTGATTTTTTTCTTATAGGGTGGTGATTTGAAAAGCGCAAAGACACCACAAACCTTGTCGGCAAAAAAGCGGAGGGATCCTGGAGACACAGGAAATAAAAGCACACCTGATTCAAATGGAGAGAACGGCTCCGTTGCCCCGATGACTCAATCGGGAGCAGAAAATAAACCCAAAGACAAGGATGAGATTGGCTTGCTGCGTGAGCAGGTCGATGAGCTCCAAAAGCAACTTGTCGAAAAAGAGGAGGCATTGAGGTCTGCCGAGAGTACTGTGAGTGAGATGAATGCGGTGTATTCGACAGTTGATGGGTTGAAACGCCAAGTTGCTGAGAAAGAAGCTTTGATCAAATATGCTAATTCTCAGTTACAAAATGCAAAGGTGAATTGCCCGCCTGCCTGCAATTACATTGTGCTATATATATTTCTTTAGTGGAAATTGTGCTATATTCTGCTTCAGTGAGCCAGAGTTTCCTCTCTTGTTCTGAAGCTTATTTGTCGTTATCGTTTTAAATTTTGTTCTACAAATGGCACACTACTTGCTACGCTTTATATTTTTGGTGTTCAAATCACAATGATCCTAACAAACACATAAAATACATTTTTTAACCATTAGAGCAGCAGGAGAGGCTCCTATTGCTATTTAAATTAAATAAAGAATATTTACAGAGTCATGAAACAAAATCCAGAATTATACAAAGGCCATAAGAAGAAAGAAAAGTGACACTACATGACTATCATTAAAGCTAGTCAAAAATTCGGCTATATTAGGCTGCACCCTCAGTTTCAAAATATTGAGGTGAGATTGGAGTAGTCTCAGCCAGTCCACCAAGGAGGCAGGTATCCTGTCAAAGTAGCATCTGCTTCTAATCTTCCATATGTTCCAAGCAGCCAAAATGGTAATTTCTTTGAAAAGAGCATGTGGCCAATTCCTAGAAGATTCATCAAACATTTCTTGCAATTACAACATAAAATTAGGGAATGATATGCTTATGTTCACCACCATTTAGTTCACAATATGCCAAGTTGATTTTAAACTGAAGAAACTAAGGTACGAATAGCAGACAGGCCATATGCAGCAGTTTCCACTTTCCAGTTATAATCTGGATTGCAATGCATTTAATCCTCGTGCCAGGCTTTATTAGTGAATTTCAAATCTCTGCAGCCTAGTTTTTTTTCCACTACTAGGCTATCCGGTCCAAAGTTTTAATCCTCATTTTGGCCATAGTGCAAACTGAACTGTGGCCCTGTTCTCGTGCACAGAATTGATCTGTGCATTTACGCAATTCCACTTTTTGCAATGCAGTTGAATAAAGCATGTTTATTTCATATACATTTCCCTTACCAGATGATAACAGCATAGCTCAATTTCGGTAAAGTTTAACAGAGTGGGTGTTCTGTTCCCTTCGTTTCTTATATTAAATGTTTGGTTTATAGTCAAATCAACTGCCCATACTAGGGCATTTATTTGATGTTTTTTTTTCTGAAATTTCTTCTGTAGATTATGCTTGCAGACAAGCAAGCATCCTTAGAAAAATTGGAATGGGAGGTAAAGACCTCAAATAAGAAGGTGGAAGATCTTCAAGGGGACGTCTCCAATATGGAGTTTGAGATAAGTTCATTCGTGACATTATTCGAGAAAATCTCGGAGAATGTTTCAGATGATTGTCACGATGGTAGCATACCATCTTATGATCTAGAGGCACTTCAATCAGTGGTGAGTAATCCTTGAATCCCTACAAGTTTTACAGGTCTGATCAATGATGACGCTGTTATCTGTACTACTAATTCTCTGCAAAAGATCTAATTGCAATGTAGTATTCCAAATTGTTCCTTTTTTGTCAACTGTGTAAATTGTATGGTAATCTAGCTTATCATTTCTGGCTTGAAAATCATGTAATGTTTAAGATTCGGATTCTACAATGAAATTCGCTAACAATTTAGGCTATCAACATAATAAGGGTAACACTGCTAGGATATGTTAATAGTGCGACCTGTGCCCCGCCATGCAAGATCACTATGAAAGCTGCCAGGAAACTTCAACAAAAGTAAAACTGGGAAGATGTCATGCCTGCATATTTACCCTCTTTAAGTAACCATCAAACGTTGCTCTTTCAGAGTGAAATCGACAAGATTGAAGTGGACAAGATAGAGCAGGAAAGAGTTACATATGCTGAAGCTCTTGCTGCTGCAAGAGCAAACCCTAACGAAGAACAGTTGAGTTCAGTTGCGGAGGCGCGGTCAAGGCTGCAGGTCCTTGTTGTACAATAATGCACGAGGTGCCAGTTGTAGTGTATGTACGATGATGCACGGGGGTGCCAATTGTAGTGTATGTACGATAATTTTAAGTCACTGATGTAATTATAATTGTGGGCTTGAGCTGGTTCATGTGTGTGACCGGTGTGACTGTAACCAATCGAGCACTTGAAACTGGACAATTGTTTTAGTTTTCGGATCACATTTACCTGGTTCTGTGCTCTCCGTTGTGGATTATATTAGAAGGAAAACTTTGGCTGTTGTTTTGATGATGAGCACTGGGCAGTGCTGCTATCTAGTGTGATTTTAGTGTTTTTAGACTTGGTTGAATGTCCGGGCACAGATTGCTGCTAAGTTTTATGATGTTGGAATTTTTGAACTGCTGATGCATCTTCTTTTCATTATCCTTTGAATCGTCATATTTGTGCAATCACGATTCACGGTGATGTGGAATCACATAATGTCATCTGAAGAACTGAAAGCAAGTAAGTGCATTATAGTGACAACACTAATTTCCTTTTCGGAGGAACTTGTGAACACAGCAAAACATCTTGCAATGAATCTACCAGAACAGTTGCAGCTAGATCATATCCACACTAAGTGTAAAGTACAGCCAAAAGCAGGTTTATGCCACTCCCAATGCATGCTCTTAATGATATATCCTCACAATTCCCAAACAAACGTAGTTTTTCTCTCATGAAAAGTCGCCCAGGAAGGCTAAACAAACACATCCAAAGTTTACCGAGTACAGCTGTAAAGATACCTCCTCCTAGTATCTGGATGGATTCGCCTCCGGATGCGATGATGCCCTTCCTTGTAAATGATGCAACTGTGATTGAATGGAGGAGATTATTATAAAAAAAAACGCAGCCAAAGCTTAGAGAGAATGTTATTTGACGACTCGACTCCTTAAACCCGTTCAAATGCCAATTCAACTTAATTCGCTAGTTTCGACGATTGAACAGAAAATGCTCGTTAAACCTTGCAAGTTTTGAGTTTTTTATTTCACTAGAACAGTTTTTTCATTTCTGTTGTTTTTCTTGTATAAAACATTGTATTATATTTGCCTTATTAGTGAGAAAATACCGTAGAACAATTGTTCTACCTACGGTTTGTGGTTCAAAAAGAAAGGGCTGATTTGAGGCCTCTCTACAAAAAAATTAAGAGCACGCAAAGTGCGTACTGTATTAACTTTTTTTTAGAGAGAAGAAGGCCTTTTCCCAAGCTAAGCCTGCCTACCAACCAGGGTGGGCTGAATATCACGGGCACAAACGGCCCTTGGGACTCAGGGGCCCGCTCAATTCTGGCGCGCAAATTCCCGCCAAGCCAGACATCGCACTGGTCTACCCTAAGGCACCGTCCCAACAGGCAATTTCCAGCCACACGACCCGACCCCTCGGAGCGCCCTGACCGTCAGATCACATCAGTCCCCTCTCTTCTCTCCCCGTCCGAAACTACCCACGCACGCCTTCCCTGATTCGTTCGCCCGCTCCTCCGTCCCCCTCCCGTCCTCGCGCGGCCCGTCCCGCCCCTCCTTCCCCTAACCGCGCCGCCGTCTGCCGGGGCAGAGCATTATCAATTAGCCCGCTGCCTCGCGGGGGTGAGCAACCGCCGGCTCGATTAGCAGCTGCCGTGCCCCTCGCCGCCGCCGCCTCCCCCCTCTGACCGCCGGAGCCATGGGTACACCATCCCGCGAAGCTCCGCTCACAGCCGCCAACAATATCCAGGCATGTTTCTGCTCAGATGTTGCAGCCTGCGTGTGATCTGCATTTGCCCCCCTCTCATGTCAGTCTTCTTGCAGCCGTTCTTTGTACTTCTTAAGGCGTCCGCTGGCGCATCCGCATCCATTTCCTCCCCGGCAACTTCCCGGGCTCGGCGGCGAATCGAGGTCTCCCAGCCGTCATCTCCCAACCCCAAATCTGCAAAGAGACCGTGGGATGACGACGATGAGGCGGACATGGAGATGTACGAGCAGCTCCGCCTGGAGGCCTTCCACTGCACCTGGTCTAAGATCCAATCCACCATCAATGTCTGCCTCTCTCCGATCGACCAGCCTCGTTCCTCATCATGCGCATACTTTAATGCGTGCTATGTCTCATCTTGGTATCGTTTTGGTTCCAGGAGGTCCTCAGAGGCATCAACCTCAAGCTGTTCGACCAGGTGCTGCGGTGGGTCCAGGAATCCTTCTCCGCGATCCGCTCTATCATGAGACCCCGCCCTGCCGAAATCCAGCAACCGTACCCTCTCTTAACTGATGTGATCTGCAGAAAGATACCAACGGCATTTGTTCTCACTAGTAAGCAGAACACTGCCATCAAGTGTTTGACTGATTGGTTTCTACTGACGAGGAATCGACTGATTTGATTGGATTGGGTTTCTCACTTTTGCAGAGAACGCAGAATTTGTTGATGATGTCACGACATTTCGGGATCTCATGGATCATCTGGAGTCTAATGGATGTCACTTGGCCAAGCTCTCGGCAACGGAATTATCATCAAAGAATGGAGTCGGTGGCTGTTTAAGGAGCTTGTTGAGGCAGCTGCTTTCAGATGTTCCAGATGTGAGTGACATGAATGTGGCTCAAATCTTTTTAAATCTGCATTGTTGATTCAGACTTGAGTGTATTGGCTCTCTAACTTCATCTGTTGCTGCTTTTCTCCAACAGGTAGCGGATGTATCTGCACTCGCATCTTGGTACTGCAAAGGCGACAATTACGATCAACCTATCATTATCATAATTGATGATTTAGAGCAATGCTCCGGTGATGTCTTGGGAGAGCTTCTGATGACGCTGAGGTAAACTCTATGTTTAGTCGCTTCAGGCACTTTGCTCTTATCTTTTAGGCACTTCTACGCCAACCCAGGTAAAAGTAGGTGCAATCTTTGAAGAAACTCTGATCTCGGTACCCATGAGATATGCAAAAATCCTGACTACATAAATACTAGTTTCAACTCTTAGCCCACTGTTTAATCCTTACAGCTTAACACTAATTAGTTTCAATGTCAATGATAGCAAGAAGCATATCGATTTATTTGTTCAATAGCTTCTGCTCCTTTTCTTGTAGTTGCATGCTCCATGCCACTTGTTTAGCTCCTCTCTAGAAGAAATGTATTTACTACTCCCTCTGTCCCATAATGTAAGACGTTTTTTGACATTAGAGTGTAGTGTCAAAAAACGTCTTACATTATGGGACGGAGGGAGTAGTAATGAAACATATTCTTGTAGTTGCATGAGCATGCCACTTGTTTAGCTCCTCTCTAGAAGAAATGTATTTACCAGTAATGAAACATAATACATAGTTTTTCTTCTTTCTGCGATTAATTTCAATTAAGAAGCTTGCATTTGTGGATTTGGTTCGACATAGAATTTTTGAAAGCCTAATGCTTTTCTCTTTATTGTAGTGAGTGGGTAATTAAGATACCAATCTTCTTTGTAATGGGGATAGCAACTACCCTTGACGCACCACGGAAACTGCTCTCATCGGAAGCTCTTCAAAGATTAGATCCCTGTAAACTCACGTTGGGGTCTCCCTCTGATAGAATGAATGCCCTTGTGGAGGCCATCCTTGTTAAACCATGTGCCGGTTTCTGCATCAGTCACGAAGTTGCAGTCTTCCTCAGAAATTACTTTTTCAGACACGATGGGACAATAACATCATTCATTAGTGCTCTCAAGGTTAGTTTTTCATATTAAGCACTTAAGCTATATTCATGTTAGAAATTCTATCGAATATATTTTCTCCATCTGTTATGGAAAAACTAATCAAAATTGACATAGCTTGCATGCAGTAAGCACTTCTCCGTCGAACCTTTGAGTTTCTTGTGCATGGGAATGCTTGAAGAGGATTCTGAGGTTGCTGCTATTTCCTATTTCCATCATAGTACCATGTTTGCTATTTTTTTGTTACTACTACCAGCTAGAACCTACACTTCAGTTTCCCTTATATTTTAGTATATATATCTCTGTTTGAGTTGCTTCTGATTTACTGCCCTACAGAACTTTTGGCGTGATAAATTTGGTGCACTGCCTGTAGCAATTCAGAAACAAGCTTTTGGTTTACCCTCATGCACTAGGTATAAGATCATCTATAAGATCTGGTTACAATAATTTCTCCCATTCTATAGGTTTGAAACTGTGTATTGCAGGGAAAATAACTCAGTCAAGCCTGGCAACAATTTGGTGGAAGGGTTGTCTGAGCTGATGAAGCTGCAAAAGGATTGGAGTTCTGTTCTCTCGGTAAACACTTAACAGCCCTTTGAGAAAACGACAGCTCTCCATCATTATACATAAATGAGCGTTGTGGTAAACACTTAAGATATTGCATGCTCACATGTCTACCTTCATGTGAAGGATACTTAAATAAAAGCTAATGAAAAGTGTAACTGTGTAATTTACTCATTGGTATATATATGGTATAAAACACATCCATACAATTTTGAAATTACAGAAGCTTCTTTAGTTGATTAATTGTGAATATGGTAGGTCCATAATACTGAATATTTGTCTCCCACATTATGACCATCCAGTGCTTGTATGAAGCTGGAAGACATGGCAAAGTGCAACTTCTAGATATTTTCTGCGAGGCAATCAATCCGGATCTGCATACTCAGAATGATTCAAATAATGAACTGCTGTCTAAACCGACAAGTGGGAATCTATCAAGTGGAAAATCAGGTGCTGGTAGAAGATGTATAGCTCAGGCATTGGATACAGTAAGGTAAGATGATCGAATTTGCTTTCAGATTTCTTGATGCACAAAGTCTCTGATTTATTACTGTTATAGATAGTTGTGCATATCTAATCTTGTACTCTCTCCATTCCTAAGCCTTTTTAGGGATTCCAATATGGACTACATATGGAGCAAAATGAGTGAATCTACAGTCTAAAATATGTCTATATATCTGTATGTAGTCTGTATTAAAATATCTAAAAAGGCTTATATTTAGAAACGGAGGAAGTATATCACATGTAGATCCTAACCGATTGTAACTTCTATCATTGCATTGTTGAGCTA